CCTTCAGATATTCTTCCAATGCCCTTTTTTCTTCTTCAGCTGTCTTGTGTACTTGCAACATTCCACGCCCACCTATGCTCCTTGGTAAGTTGAGTCTGTCAACGTTACTGTATGGATGAAGGATGTGATTCATTGTCATTATTTTTCTGGTCTTCCTATCCAGGGCTTCTGCTTCAGTCCACTATTCCAGCTGTATAACTAATGACTGAAATTGCCCAGGTGTTAACCAGCTTGATGGTATTTCCTCCACTGAGTTTGGACTTAAGATCTTCTTGACTCTATTATAATTATTATTATTTCCTGCCTTTTTATATATAACTCAAGGTGGTAAACATACCTAATATATAAGGTATGTTTAAGGAAATAAGATGGGACACCAAAGTTCTTCTCTGTTGCTTCCCAACAAAATTGTCTCCCACAGATGGAGTCATACAAAGACTGCTTCCCCCTTGCTATTTTAACTACATCTAAAATTTCAAAATCATAGAATGATGGAATTGAAAGGGCTTCTGAAGCCTTTCCAATCTAACTCAGAGCAGGAATTCAAATTAAACCATCCTTAATAGATGGTTCTCCAGTTTCAGCTGGAAGACATCCAATGAATGGGAGAACATCACTTCTCAGGGCAGTTGGTTCCTCTGCCAAACTACTCTTACCACCAGGAAAAATAGTTTAATATACAACTGAAATTTGCTTTCCTATAATTTATGATCATTACTCCATATCCTGGACTCTGCAATCATAGTGAATAGGTCTTAAACTGTTTTGTAGGACATCCTTTAAAGATTGGAATAGTGTCACCATATTCCCCCTTTTCTTTTTAAGGCTAATTATATCCAGCTCCTTCAATCTGTCTTCCTAGGACTTAATTCCTAGCTTTTTGGTGCCTTTTTAAAAACATGTTCCAGTGTCTGAATCCCAGTTAAAACAGGTGCCCAGAGCTCGACACATCCTTGAGAAAGGAGTGATCAAAACAGAATAAAATAGAATGATTACTTTCTATAATTTGGAAATCCTGCTTATGTTAATGAAGCCTAAGAAAGCTTCTGCTTTTTTGCAGACACACACAGCAGACTTACAGTATATTCCATTTGCAGTGATTTACTATTCCAAGATCTTTTTCACAAAACCCAGGTATTCTCCATCCAATACTTGTGTGTTTAACTTTTTTTATCCTACAGTAAGTGAAGAATTCTGCATGTGTTGGTCTACGAAATCCCATTCTGTTATTTTGAGCCATTTCTGTAGTCTATCTAGATCATTTTTAATGATGTTTCTATCTTGGCTATCAGCCTCTCTCTATTAGGACATTAATAATTGCAACAAATGTCGTCTCCTCTGTGAATTTGATAAGCATTCCCTCCACCTGTTCACCCAAATCATTGTTAAAAAATCTTGACAGGTACCAGCCCCAGGATCACATCCTGTGGCACCGCACTTGATACCTTACTCCAGTTTGAATATTTTGGACTTTCAAGCTAGCTTTAGGGCCACTTACAAGATCAAGCCACCCAGCCCACATTTAAGCAGAATGTCATGGGCTCTTTAATCATATGTTTTGCTGAAACTGAGATATATTATGTTCAAAATAGTCCTGCACACAATTAAGAAAATTACCTGATTAAAATTGAAATCAGATTAGTCTGATACAATACTATTATGTTATCATGTTTACTTCTGGCACTCATTGTTTTCAAGGTGCTTAGAGATCAATCTCTTTATGAAGGGGTCTAAAATCTTCCCAGGAATCAATGTTAGACTGATTGAGTTGTAGTTCCACAAATCTTCCGTTCCCCGCTTTTGGAAGTTAGAACATTGACTTTCCTGCAACCATCTGATCTCCAGGATTTCTCAGAGATAATGGATGGAAGCTCAGCCAGACCAACAATAAGATTCTTCAACACCCTAGGATACAGCTTATTCTCTGGAAAGCTGAATGCAGCTTCCAGAAATGAGCACCTACTGATCTTTAATGCATTCAAGGTCAGTAGGTGCTCATTTCTGAAAGCTGGAATTCCTACTTTTTCAATCAGCACTTCACAATGCATATGTCAGCCCTTTGAGGCTGTCCAGATCAGAATCCTCCAGAAGACCAGAACTAAGTTTCATTGAGATAGGTTATATGAGCAGAATTTTGTAAGTCTGATGGTGCTTTTCTTCCCCTCCCTCTTATATCCTCTTGAGTCAGGGAGAAGCCAGCTTGATCCTCTTCCTAACACTATCTCCCTTCCCAGAACTTAAGGAAAGCTTCTGCCTGTCACTTCTGTAATGGTTTCTGAATATTTCCCTCAGAGGCATCTCCTTGGCTCTCTACATCATATCTTCTTCTCTGAGAAGGCTGACACATTTATGGGTACTGCTTATTCCTGTGCATATCTGCAGAGTCCACAACTCCTTCTTAGAGAAGACTGAGCCAAACAGGAGTTGAATAATTCTGCCTTTTTGTGATTAAGTAGCTGGAGTATTGAGCTCTGCAATGCCACACTCTCTTGGGTTTGCACTGCCTTCCTAGTATTTCTCTCAGCTGTCTGACAAGTCAAAATTCTTCTTGTAGGGCTTAGTGGAATGTTTTCCCAGCAGATTTTGGGGTAATTAAAGTTCCCTGTCAACATGGCTCTTGGAAAGATCTGCAATTTTAAGAACTAGATAGAAACTTGATAGAGTTCCTTTTGCATAATTTCTGTAAGCCTTTCATCTTGGACCTGCAGCTTCAGACAATGCTAGAACAGAGACAAAATGGAGCAGTTTATCATATTTCTGATAGGAAGGGGGGACGGGTCACACAGTGAGACTGCTGACAGTGAATTTGACCTCATACATCACATACAAATTGTTTAAAGATAGTTTGTTTTAGTTATAGTTTCTTGAACGAGCCAGAGTGGACTGGTTCACACAAAAAGCTAAACTATGAACCAGGAATCAGCACCCTGTAGCCCATGGACTGCAGACAGCCTCTGATCCATTTTTGTAGTTCACAGCACCTCTGGATAATACCTCTGGCAATTTTGTGTTTTGAGAGTGCTTTTTAAAAACTATTTTCAAGAAGGGAGTGAGGGAAAAAGAGCTGTGACCAGTTTAAAATGCGTCCTCTTTGTAGCTTAAAACATCCCCAAACACCCCAAACACCATTTTGGCCAAAATATTGTAGTCTCAAATCCCAGTGACATCACTGTATCACAGCCGTGGCCTTACGGTCCTTGGATGCTGAAAAACGCTTTTGAAAACCAAACCAAACCAAACCAAACCAAACCAAACCAAACCAAACCAAACCAAACCAAACCAAACCAAACCAAACCAAA